CCCGGCCTCGGCCTGCTCAACTCGCTGGGGGTGCTGCACAGCCCCCTCGACCTCATGGCGCACCACGCTCCGCCGCGCTCCTACAACAGCCCGCCGCCGATATCCACCTCCGACCCCACGGCCAACGAGTGCAAACTCGTCGATTACAGAGGACAGAAGGTCGCCGCTTTCATCATCGCCGGCGATACCATGCTGTGTCTTCCGCAAGCCTTCGAGCTCTTCCTCAAACACCTCGTCGGAGGACTGCACACGGTTTACACCAAACTCAAAAGGCTCGACATCGTGCCGCTGGTTTGTAACGTCGAGCAGGTCAGGATCTTGAGAGGACTCGGTGCCATTCAACCGGGGGTTAACAGATGCAAACTACTCTCATGCAAAGACTTCGACACACTCTACAGAGACTGCACTACAGCCAGGTATGTGTTTGCGTAATAAGGCCTTATTTTACTATTAAACCAAAACTGAATATGTATATTTGCCGACAACTTCATTGACAGAAGAATAGTTGCTAACGTTTTTATACTTTTCAAATTAACTGAGAGCACATACTCGCAAGAAATAAACTGATTGAAATTGTTTGATTTTCAAATGGAATTTTGATGCAAGAAGAGACTATTTTTTTCTGAGTAGGTATAGTATACTATTTGAAGGATTTTATACTAATTAAATTTAATCACCAAATATTAATAATAATATTAATTAAGTAGCATCACACTACTAATGACAATATTCTACAAATCCGGTCAATTTTTTCATAAACCATACCTACTTAGTACTTATAGAACATTTATTTAGTTTACTCAATTTTTTTTATTGTAGGTACTCACCTATACTATACATAACAGATGATATAAAAAATAATAAACAAAAGCCGTTTACTACGTAGGCACACTAACATGTAAATATAAACTAGTATACAGCGTGAATATAAAGTATGGAACCAAGCGGTTTTATTTTTAATCATTTGCCTCCAGCAAATAATAATTAATATAAATTAAAGTAATATAAAAAATGTGATCGTATTTTCAGAACGAAATTTTGTTTTGTTTTTGAGTTATGCGATTTTTTTTGTCAAAATTTGCAATTTATGTGTAAAATTTTTTTTGAAAAAATTAAATTTAAAGCGGATAGTTGTAATCCTTAAAAAGAAAATTTCGAAAAATTTTATTCTTGTTAAATTATCACATTTTTATAGTACTTTTTTCAGTCAATTGTTTTAATATCTGGATTACTTTATTAATGTTTTAATAGTTTTGTATTTTATGTGTAAATAATATAATTTTCTCAATTGATTAATTGATATACATATTTTTTAAGTATTAATTTCCAAAATAAATCTGCAAGAGCTTTTGTTGTTCTGAGTTTTTAGCTTTTAGTGGTATCAGCAACTTAATCATCAATTATTTTTTAAATTGTCAAGTGTTTTGAGAACTTTGTTTTTTGTTTCACAAATTTATAGTATTATAGTTGTTATACTTTAAAAATTAGAACAACATTATTAATTTTTAAATGATAATTTTTGCAGTTTTAATTAATTTATTAGAAATACTTATGGAAAAATTTCATTTTAGGAAACAAAAATAAGCTATTAACACCCTGATAAAAAGCTCCAAATATCAATAAAAAATAACTTTATTTATTTAAAAAAGATTTAAACAATGTTTTGAATTTTGTTTTTCATGTATTAAAAAAAGTTTATACTTTCGTAGGTATAGGTACATTACTTGCTCGTACCTACAAAGAACCTAAATTTAGCTTTCTCTCGTTTTAATCTACCTTTGTATAATTTATAAATTCGCTGCTCTCTTTGAAGACTAACCCCTTGCATTGGTAGAATTCCCGTTGCAATTCAACCCCCGATTGCCAAGACAGCAGAGACAATTGCATTTATGATAGATGCAGTCTATAAATACAAACTGGGCCAACAAACCCCCGCGTTTAGATTGAAATAATTATAAACGCAATGAAACAAGGGGAGAATCGAGTGCAGAATAGCGTCCCCTTTCTATTTCTGCATACTCGACGATTGTTGATTCAATAACATGAAACTCGTCTGAATTCCAATCATATAAAACGAGAGATAACGCACGTGTTTTATTAATGTTTCGTGAGGTCCGAGTGGCGCCTTACTATCGATATATTATTCCGAATGGTATAAAGGGATGATAAGTTGAACGGTCATCTGACAGAACCTATTAGCACTCGGCTATTATAAAGGCGTAGGCTATCGGAAAATCTTTGAGGCTTCCCGGTGAGTTCATCCTCGCCTGAGCTCGGCCTCGGCTACTGACCATTTATAATATAAATATTAACGCTATTGTTTGTATTGTACGCCGTTAATGGAATTTGTTAACGCCAGGATAAACATGCGAAAAATTCAAGATTTCTACGCGGTAATTAAGAGACGTTAAAGCCTAGACTGACTGCCATACAAAGTAGAAAATCACAATGGGATACGTGTAACAATAAACAAGACGGGAGCATAGTGTTCTTGTGGGGATTTAAATCATCTTTAAATAAATATTGTTGACAGTTACGCCTTGCCATTAAAATATCCGAAGCGGGTAGACCTACAACTTGTTCGAGAAAATCACACTGTTATTTATTACGGGACTATGGCAAAGGTTAAAATTGACAGGGGACTTAAATTTTTATGTTTGTACATTCATACATAGTGAATATAGTCAGCCCATAATGGGTTTACATTATTGCCTATTACATTGTTGTGTTCATAAATTTATTTTAGACCAAATGGAAAACTTGTGGCTTAAGGGGTAGTGACACAAAAGATAATAATTTACAACAGATTCTAATTATAGTTGATAATAAAAAAATAGCTATTTATGTATCAAGTACGCAAAATAGGGTTTTAGAAGCCGAGTCTTTAATGAGAGGAGTCACCTAAAACCTTTTGCGTACGTGGTGCATACAAGATTTTTTTGTTAAAGTTTCCAAAACACGAATTTACAACTCTTACTAATTAAAAAAAATTCTTTACCATAGTAACCAATTTTATTTTTTAGTCCGCAAAACTGTTTTTGGGGACTGAGTACCTAAAATAACCGTTTTGCGTACTATTTTATTGAGTCCGGAAAGGACTCATTTTAGGGACTCAAATGAGTTCCTAAAACAGCTGTTTTCGGGAGCGTATACAAAAAAACAATATTTATTTATAAAAAAAAAATGGCTTCATAAAACTTCAAAGAAAAATTGGGTTAAGTTAATCATTTTTTGTGAATTTTTTATGATTCACACAGACATTAGTGTACACAAAAATTAATGTAAATATAATGTTGCATGCAAGCTATTCTTTGTTTCACAAATATATGCTCTTAATACATGTTTAATTTTCATAAAATAATTTATCATGATTTTTAAGATATTTTTTAGTGTAAAACAATTTAATAACTTTATAATGAGATTATTTTTGAACACCCACTTTAAACACATAAAAACACTTATAATTAAAGGTTATTAAATTAACATTTGAAATTTGCAAACAATTTTTAAACACAAACTAACGTTTTCTGAACGAGTATTGCATTTCTTTGTGGTTTTGCCTTTTTAAATGGTTTATTTATTCAGTGAAAGTATCCTTTTCTTGCATAATCCCAGTAGTATGCGACTTTTTCGAGGCAATTTTCGCGTTGGTGGCTATAACAATAACAGTTTAGCGTGCGTTAATAAAGAATTCAGGAGATTCAGCGCTAATTCTTATTTGAAATGAGTTTGGGTAAAAATGCATGTCTGGGGAAATGCTAGTCTGGTAATTAAAAAAGGCGCCTTTCGTCGTCTCTGTCGTGCATGAAAATATCGAGCAAGTGCAAGTGGAAATTGTTAAGTGCGACTTATCTGGTCGACTGAAACCGCATACTGTATTCAGTACAAGAGTATTTTAATAATTCATTTATTTTTGCAAAAGCAATCAGAGTTTGTACGCAACTTATTATATTTTTGTTAGAGTTTAAATGGGTTTTTGTTGCATTTATGTGGCTTGGTATTGTGCTTAAGATTACATGTACACTGTTCATACATGTCCACCTTATTAAAGTTCTTCTAGTATGCAGATTAACATTGTGTAAGGGAGGCATGGTCTAAAATTAATTGCACGCCTGTTAGTCGAGCCAGCTGTACTCGTTTTATTTCAAAACGTGAACAATTTCAATAATTTTATTTTCAAACTTAAATTACTTAACGTCTTTTCTGATACGTTTTAAATGGAAAAAAAACGGCTAGATATGATGAATAGACGCATTTGCATGTTTTGGACTGGGTGGTCTCAAAACGTAGCAAATTAATGTTATCGTCACTATCAGCAATAAACTTGTAAAAATTACCAAGGATTGTATTCTAACCTGCAATTAGTTTTTGTACCGGAATTAATTTTTATTTGCGCCTGTTTTGGAAAACTCGGAGGCGAAATTATACACCGGATGGTTAATGGGCTAGCACCTAGGATAGATATATTTTAAACTGACCATAATTGTTTATGGGAGCACAAAATTACTTTGAATAATTCTGCCAATCAAGATTTGGATTAATTAAAAATCAAGAGAAAATAAAATTAAATCAAGATCAAAAAAATTATTTAGAGCAAATTAAACTCAGTTTATAAATTAGGCTTTTATATATGCAAAACTAAATAACACCTAGAAATAGATAAAAAACAAGTACTGCTTTAGCATTAGATGGCTATCTATGCCAAAATTTATCTCTTGTTTAAACGGTAGATAGGTATGGTAATGGTTTCATTATCATGGAAAGTGCATCGTACTGTTGGATGATCTATTTTGTTCTAGCTTTTTATTTACAAAATTATTTTTCTAGACAAAGTCGAGACAATGGCTTCTAGCAATAAGTGACCGTGACCAACAATTGAATTAAAAATTAATTTTTATTTTTATTTTGTTTTTTGGTGGGGTCAACTAGCCACTTTGCGTCTAAACTTAATTAAAGACAAATGAATAAACAATTACTTTAAGTATTCATGTAAATTAAAATATTAAAAAGGTATGTAGGTACCTATACTTATTTTTGCTTTTATCTACTATGCTACTAACTTTTTTTAAAAGAAGTTGAAGAAAAGCAAAAGTCATAACTGTAAGTAAAAAACATGCTTATGTATTAATAATAATTACATAATATGTTAACGCACTCTTGAATTGGATGAGCCTTTTTGGTTAATATTTTTGCGATTAATGAATCAAACAATAGCTTTCAGAATTAAAAATTTCTTTTAATTTAAGCTGCACTTGCGTATAAAGAATAATAATTATATAAAAAAAGCTTTTTGTACTTACAAAACATACAGAAATAAAAAAAATCTGGGTAGGTGTATCTACAGAGCGTTTTTTTAATAATGCAAAAAATTCCAACCATATATTCTACCTACATCAATAAATAACACTTTGAAAAT